CCCCGCCGCTGCCTTATCCATCCCCTGCGGCTATTAAAACCTTTGTTGTAAGATCTATGACCAGTAGTCACGGTTACACGCATGTTATGTAAGGCGGAGGCTAATTGTGGACAGCAATCTGCGATCGCGGACCCATTTTTGGTCGTGTTTGTGAGTGACTGAATCCAGTGCAGATTTAAAGAATGAAAAGTGAATTTAACATTGTTTGCTTTATTCTAAAATGTTTGGTTATGTAAGTTATTGCTGCAACAAAACAGTGATCACATGTTTTTTTGTTCGGGTTTATTGGAGATCTATTTACAGAACTTTCGTTTGATACTATTAGCTATCGTGTAAAACTTTGATCTCTTGCCAAAACCAGAAATCCGTTGGAGCAACAATCAATACTATTTGGGCTTCTATTCTTAATAATGCCGAGTGATACGCTGTTGAGATTTCATGTAGTTAACAAACAATCATGTGTTTGGGTCGGTAAAATAGGCACAGGTCTTGAACAAAAACCAAAACGAGCTCCCAGTTTGATGTTTGTCTCAGATAGCAGTTTGTTTGCATAATACACGTCTGTACCTACGTCAAACAAGGCATGTGGAACATTATTGTCCCGGTTAGGGGGAACGTTCATCGCACCGACTTTGAGGCGATACCAACAAAAATCCAGTCAATTACCGAAACATATGGATTTAAAACTTTCGTGGAAGCGAACAAGTGTTGATCAAACTTATACAACATGACTCTCATTTCAGAAATACATTTTAGTTTCCAAAATCATACTCGCATGCTAGTGGCTATGGGTGAAGTGTATTTATTCCCGACTTTATCTACCACTACTATGATCGCAGTTCTCTTCTGTCACTGTTTGAATTTGCGTGACCTTGAGTGTCGTGATCAAATCTGCAGTAGTTCGAAATTAACGGCTCAGATTTGGAAACTATTTTATGTAGAGGAGGGCAAATAAAACATTGACAGCACTAAAGTACCAAATTAAAGTATCAATGGCTTTGAGTCACTTTTATTCATGAATTTTAGTATTCTTTTACTGAGGCTTCGCTATTTTACAATTGATACACCAGCAACCGCAGTCCAAACCCAGAATTCGTACATTTCAATGGTTGTTAACTGATGGAAACAAAATGACAACTGGATATTATATCAGATATGCTGCTTTGGATGTGAGGAGCGATATCATATTCAATCCCGTGAATGAGGCCCGGAAAACTAAGCGTTGGGTGGAACAAAGGTGGTGAAAGTCAGAGTGCTGCTGTACGAGTATGATTATTATCTGTAGATTGGTCGTCCGACAAGTCTGTAAAATCATGTTAGCTTTCTCGCTTGAGGAGACATTTTATAGTGCAGCTCGGGGAGACGAACAAGACTTGAAGAATCATTGTGATGATTGTGTATCAAGTGTTGTGGGTTGGATGTATCTAACCTGGGGCAACTAGACACTAGGACCGATTTTTATTGATTTATGAGGAGCAGTTTAAGTATAAGAATGACCAGACAGAAGCTTGCCGGACACACATGCCTGACAACCTGCAAGAACCGTGAAACCAGTAGTGTCCTTTTGGGAAAATTAATCTGATCATTCATATATCACTCATTATCAAAACGCTAAATTTCGGCTTCATATATATCGTCTTTGTTTGACGCAAATAGAAAGAGAGACAGGCAATTAATGCAACAAATTCCTCGAAGGATCCGTTCTACAGATTTGTCATCCATTAAAAGCACGACACAATGGGAAACGATGGGAAGAGTTACTCGGATCAATTAGTATAGGACCACCTCACATGAGACTCCCGTAACGTACTCTTATACTTGTATCGCGATCACTTTCTTATGTACATAAATATTCAATTACACAAATAAGGAGCAGGAAAGATCACAGAGCAATTCGGAACGTTAAAAATTTCATCGACAATTGATGGCTGCACCAAGAATGTAGAACTGGATATGCTCACCCGGTGGAATGGAGAAGCTAACTGTTCCAACCGGCAATACGGTTATTCTTCCGTGAAAGATAAGAGTTAGAGTTAGTGTTGAGCGGTCAGTCCAAATCTGATCCCAAATTTGCGAAATAACTAAATCATGACAAATGCGTTGTTATTCTCTTGTGAAATTCATTTTGCGATCAAATATAGGTCGGGGGCGAAGGTCAAACCCATCCTAAGCTATGTGCACAGGGAATTAATGATTAGCAGAACAAAGAATATGATCAGTAGCAAGCCTCTCTATTTGTTCCGGATTGATCGTGCTCTGATTACAATCTGAGATTGAGTGGATGTTTCAGGGCGATCATATTATGGAACCGCTACCCAATTAAGGAGTCATATCCGTTCCCGAGAGTTAGAGAAACTGATCCAGGTATATCGAAAGAGACGGCAATTCGAGCAGTTAATAGCGTTCAGTCCATACGGCTGAAATTCACGAAATACAGACAGTATTACGTTGATCTAATTTAGCACGATTCACTTTGATTACAACTAGTCAATTCGTTTCTTGTTTACGAGAGGTCTCTGGTTCTTTCCCATGGATGGATGCATCGGCATTATCACGGATTACACATCCACCTCCGATAAACGAGAACTCGATATCACTGAATTCCTATTTCAGAATGAATATTTTGTATCATAAAACAGAGTGAATTGATTAGGAATCCGATTCCGGGTATTGGCTAACGAAGCCATGTACGGAATACGATTTCATACTTAGCTGACAATGGAGACTGTTCAACGCATCCTCAGTGTACATGGTACGAAGCTCTATAAATGCTTTTCAAACGGGAATCACACTTTAATGTGCAGTAATAAAATGTAGTGTATCATGCGCTGTGCAAATCCCGATACCGAAAAGCCTAATGACGTAAACAAAACAACAATAAACTCAGGGTTTCACTGTTTTCTTGAGTAACTTCCTCACAAGTCCCAAGTTTTGACCGTGTTTGCTGCACGCGCGGGTGTCGCTATTTGCAGCCTCAAGTATGAGGTCCTGGGTAGGTAGGACGGAAGATATCAGCATGCACTGCATGAACGTACATTATTCGTTGACGCCGCAGATCTAAAATCTTTTCTAAGATGCCATACTATGCAGACAGGGGTTGTTTGCTTATCCGCAATACCAATTAGTTTCGAGCACATATATTTGGCCAGCTGCGGAAAATGTGTGGATATAGCTAGCTGATCGTCAAGACGAAGTTTTTTTGTTAGGAATGCGATAAAAATAGTGTTTTTCAAACCAAAAGCCACAATTCCTTTGCTGGGTAGTTTTGGTTGACAGAACATTATGGTTGATTCTTCAGAGTTGACAGCTTTTACCGCGATTTCGCATAATTTCTGATATATATATATAAAGAAACCTTGAATAATCATTGCAATGGTACTGTATTAGGTGTGGTGGGTCAGTGTGACCAGTTAAACTTCCAAGATGACACCAGCCAAGGCTCCACGTGTTCCAGTTTCCGGACATTGGACCATGGACCAACATTGTTGATCAGTCATCAGTCAGACAGTTCAAACAGAAGTCGTATGATTCGAAGAACACGAACGATGATTGGCCGATACTCATTTGATCGATGCAGTTTCTATTTGCCTGTTGTTTAATCTCATTGATTTCTTTCAATGAACGATCCTCTACCTCCGTGGCCTTTTTCCTACGTCTTGGTGACCGGAGATTTCAGCGTAAAATTGCTAGTGCAATTATGTGCTTTAGTTGCGATCGTGATTCCTGATCCATAATCTGTACTTACTTCGATTACTGCAATTAAGTGCGTTTACCCTAGCCAAACCGATGCTACGTTCGATTTTGAGTGATTTAATATTCAGAAATATACGAATGACTGGGTAATTATTTTCAGTCATCTATATACTACTCACTGTCTGTGTATATATTTGATGGTTATGTCCTCCAGACTGTGTTCAGCACTCTTTATAACCAATAAAGGTCCACGATTTGGAGGTGCGTGAGATACTGCCAAGTTGCTCAGGTCATAGGAGCTTCAGGTTTCACCACAGGAGCCCGTGTCTGGACAAAATCTGATCCACAAGGTAGTTGGGCGGCTTTTGAAACCACAAACCCATTGAAGGTCCGTGTACAGGTGATTGAATCAAACCTCAAGTGCCCCAGATACCAATCAAGCCAGTGATCACTGTCATAGCCAAGAAGGTGCGCGTGTGTGCAGCGGCTCGTACTCTTTGCCTTGGTTTGTTTGGGACCCGAAACAAACTAGTGTGCAACATGATTTCTATGATGGTTGTGGAAGCATATCTAGTTTATCTTTTCCACCAATTTTTGCAGCCCTGGATACCATGATATGAGCTATTTTTGTGTATACAGTGACCTGTTTGTAGCCATTTAGGTTTTTAAAGATTATTACATCATTCAAATATCATGAGTACATGATTTCAAAGCTTGCAAGATGAATAAAGATACACATGGGTACAAAATTCGCTTATTGAAAGACCTGTGGAATATGCGAAACCTGTTCAATCTACTTAATGCATAGACTGAATTGTGAATATTTATGTCACAATGAAAGATATGAGAGTCCGTGAGAAGACGAATATCGTTTAAAACAATACTGAAGGATTGATTCTATCTTTGATGTGAATCAGTCCACCGGGCCGGTTTTTCTTCTTCTTCAGCTTACTTCCGTTTATAGCACTCATAATAATACCGTCTTCAGGAAGGGGGAAGCGGCCAATCAACCAAAGAGCCATCATGCAACACACAGAGAATGGGGAAAGTCAGGCGGTTGTGAATGATGTAATGTTAGCAACACAGCTATGTCGGTAGAGACTTGTATTTGCCGACGTTTCGGTTACCTGGCTTGAGAAAGGTCTCTCCGGTAACCGAAACGTCGGCGAAAACAATCCTGTAAAGACTTCGCTGTCTGATTAACATTATAACATTCGCAATAAAACAGAACACATGGCGCATCGACTTTTCGTTACACTGCTAACATCATTTGTTCCTGATACATTAAAAATTCAGGCGGTGTCCCCTAATGTCAAGCGCATGATGCGTGGAATCCGATGGTTGCTATGCTTCATTAAACTGATCGAAGGGTTGTTGCCCGGTTTGGCATGGTCAAGCTGTTGCATCCAATCGTTTGGGCGCATTAAACTGTGTTCGTAAACGCTGGTGATGGAGAATACTTTGTAATGCTTACTTTTGTGTAATAAATAATACAATTCACTCAGCCACCATACATAGGAACAATCAGTAAAACTTTAGATGATTATCTTTTGTGATATTGGGGATAATTACATCTCTGTCCTTCCTCCTCACCCTCACCCACTGGTTTCCCAGATAAACATTCATTCGCACCGAATAGCCCAACGCATTTTGTACCATGGAATAATCTGAGGCAGACAACAGTCAGAAACGTGGCATCAAATCGAATTACCTGGGTCAGGAAACAGTATAATTTTCGAGATAGCGTAAGCGACCTCATGTTGATCATTTTCTTTCAGGTGATGTTCTCCCAACACGGCAACCCATCGATCGGCTGAGGCGGTCAGTGACGGGTTCCAAACTTCTCTGAACGACAAGAACAAGAGAGTGTGTAATCAAAGAGGACTGGTTAGACATTCAAACGAGTGGGGTGGGTGAAATAAAACGAAACCAGTGAATTTTTTTTACTGTGAGTTTAGTGAGGACCACTACAGTCGATGGCCAGTCTAACCGAAACGAAACGAAACAAAATAAATCAACTGTCCGGTTTTCCCTTTGCTGCACAGTGTATTAAAATAGAACACACGTTTGATATTAAATTCGCATAGTCTTTCAGAGAAAAAAAGAAACTTATTTTCCTCGTGTTCTGTTGCCACAGAGTTTGGCTATCTGCATGGTTTTGATACAAAATCAAACCAGATGACGAACTCGTGTACCGTACTGGATATCCCGGTGTCGGCTGAACAGATGACCTTCATTCTCCGGTGATAACTTTTAATCAGCTGAAGGTGTGATTGTGGTAATTAATAGAGCAAAAAAGAACTAATACAGTTCGGATTATCAGATCGTAGAAACTTTCAACTTACAACTGGTAGGCTGCAATTTTCGCAATTTTGGCTGGCCTCCAGTAGTAATTAAGTAAAACATGAACGAAAAGTGAGCGTAATTGACTTCAAGATTCAGTCGGACTTGCCAACCAAGCTTCGTTCAACATTGGTTTCCATGTTGAGGCAGCATTTTCTCACGAATTCAAAGTTAAACTTTTATTATGGAAAATACTTACAAGTGTTTGTTTTTTCTTAATTCATAGGGCTTTTCGTACAATTGGACTAATTTACTGATCAAAACGAGATAAGGATTGTCAGAAATTTTCATTGTTTCGTTTACTGATACGGTAGTTGAAATTTAAAACTTGACAATGTTTCATTCAGTTTAGGCTTAAAAGAATCGATTGTGGGCTCAGAAACAATGTGGAGTGGTAGAGAATTCCAAATAATGCAAACTCTGAAAGCTGAGAAATGACGCGATCATTCCGGTCGACATTTTTGCAGTGAAAGTTCTAATTAGTGAGTATTGAGTAACGAGGCGAACAGTGAACGTCAAGGGTAATCGAGGTTTTGTGTTATTGGATACACAGAAAATTCAGTTCCCTCGAATTCGGTGATACACTTCGGAGTACAACTCCAATGATTACAGTCTTTCTACCTAAGTCTTGGAATGCAATCTCTTATCACTTTTGGCAGCTATTCCTTGTGGGTGTTAGGAATATTGCGATCCCGCTGCAGCTATGGATTCCACGCTTTGATGGCGTGCTCTGTGTGGCGTCGAATGTAGACTGATAACAAATGTGGGAACAACGTAGATTCGGATTTGCCAAATACTCGCATCAGCAAAGCAACATGTCTTGCAGCGGAGTACAACACCCTGGAGAAGTTTCAAGAACAACTCAGGTCATATTGAACAATGACTCCGCGATCCTTCTCATTCGATATCTCAGGAAATACGGAAGCCAATTTTTGCGGTGAAGGGAAATGACTGTACATTTTTGAATAGGATGCCATGTTCGATCGAAAATTGCTTGGCAGTGAGTCCTCGGGTTTTGTTACTGTTCCTCATAATTTTGCATCGTCTGCAAACATTAATCTCTGTGGCCTCAGAATGACCGATGAATCGTTTGAGAAAACTAGAAAACGTTGAGCGCCAAGTACAGATACCTGTAGAACTCCTCGGGTTATGCTGGTAGGATCAGAGAGTGACCCAGAAACCCAAACTGCCGTGGTGTGTTGTCAATGAAATTGACCCATCCAACCCAGTACGAATCCCCAAATTCCATAATCGTGTATTTTCCTCAGCAGTATATTACGGTTCACTCGTTCGAATGCATTGGATAATAAGGGGCAAGGGCGAGAGTAAGTCGATGGCAGTTAGCCAGGCCACTGCGGTAATCGCCTATGTATATTTGGTGAAATTATTCTTTGTTTCCATATTTGTGGGAGTTTAGTTTTATCGAGCATACCTTTGGATACTTCACCTAATGGCTGAACGAAGTTATCAGGTAATGCATGTGTGTGGATAGATGCCATCCATCTATTCACGAGGATAAATTCTTTTCAAAATGTGTGCATGCATTTAACCTTCACACAAGATTTTGGACTGTTTTAATCAATTTGTTAACTGATTATCACACAAAAACACTACATCAATCAGCTGGTGCTGATAGATACTGTGAAAGTGCACACTCCAAGGATTACAAATTAGGGGTGAGTACTTACCTTTGATCCCCTGGGTCTGGGATTATTTGCTTCATTTCTCCTCCAGTCCAAGCTGTCTGATAACAAGAAATAGACCAGAGTTCATCTGTGATGTGGCTACTTGCATCAGTTGGAAGAGTTACTGAACACTAGGTCACAGGTAACTCAGGTGTCCCATGGCCAACCCGCAGATTCCACGAATTTTGAGAACAATGCGCTTGGTTTTGACTTCGGTGACAGCCGAGGTCATACTCCGGACACTTTTGTACAATACCGGCTGATGTAACGCCTGATAACCGCGCCAGTAATATTATATCGTGATTGCTTGTATCTCAATGAACCTTTTTGGTTCATGGCGTTTTGTTTGCCTTGCCTTACAAGTTTAACTTCAAACTCCATCCACGGAAGACCTGTTTGTCAGTGCTTCCCCGCTAACCCGTGTCCCGAATTCCTAAGGCCGTCCCCTGCCGTTGTTCGTCACCCGTAAAGCTTTGTATCGTCTCCAACTGCAAGAATACGAGCCGAGGTACATCTTATCACTCATCACTGTTCACTCCGCTGCTCCGAGAGTGCCCGGAGTACGTTCGCACTACACCGGTTCATTTATGCCAATCACGAACGCGCTCGATCAGATGCTGATTCACTTACTCACCCCCCCCTGCTCACCAATTCACTTGTTCGTGCACTAGATGAAATAGATCGATATTTGGCGTACATAATGAATCGTATAAGTTGAAATACTAAACCGCTGTATCATTTTGGATGAGGTAATATGTTCCATCTGCATTTCAATGTAAACCGGGTAGATTAACCCGAAATTAATTTTATTTGTGGTCTGTGATAAAAAAGGAATTTGGCTAGCACAACCGGGCTTCCGCATGAAGTAGATCACAGTAGATCCGTTCGGACTTCACCATATTTAATCACGTGACCAATAGTCCAAAACCAAAGAGAGTTACGTGAATGGAGCTTTCTGACACATTATCTTCGATTGCAGTTACCAATCTGTGGTCAAAAGCTTCTATTAGGACTCCGTGACTTATTCATCGCTTGTTTCAAGAGCACCTGATGAAACGGACAATAGTTGTTTAGCTATCATGCGAACAATTAAATATGTGGTTGTTGATTTCTATCTTTGATCAATCTAAAAGTAGTCCATTCACGAAAGTAACAAAACATTCTGCTTTTCCCCCACAGTAATTATTAATTCACTCCATAAAAACTTAATTTATGCCTACTGTGGCGGATGAGCAAGCTGATCATCCCGTGATAGAGTTTGTCGTTTAGATCAGTAGGAATTAGCTTGTTGCGGCCTTCATGTTTTCCCCTTGATTTTTAAAAAATGATCTCTTCACATGCCTCCGGAGGAACGATTAATATCTGTGCGACAGCAACTATTAGACCATACAAGTATTAAACCGGGAAAACAAGTAGAATGGTCGTTCGCTAAATGATGTACAGAACCAGAACGGTTGTGAGTCTGAATTGATATGGGACAAAAGTTGTTCTCCAATTAAAAAAGCATTCTAAAAGCAAAACGGATAATGTGTGCTTTATGACTGAACTAAGTCAAACGGAAAGAGAATGGCCTTCTGAAATCCTCATTAACAAGAACTGAGTAAAGTGCTTTTTCGAGAGATGTATCAGCTCCCTGGGGTATGATGATACAATCACCCGGTTAACTGGCCAAGCACATAAAGACTTACAAAACCAAATGCTTCCCCGATCAAAATCCGATTTAGATAACTTAAAGTTAAACCCCGCTTGTGACCGGATTTTGCAAATTACGGTCTACGCAGCCACTGCGCTGGTCATTCCGAACAACCGGAACACCGCTTCACATTTTCATTCTGTTACCAATTAGACGATTGGGTCATTGAAGCACAATTGACAGTCTAGTGAATGACTAAATCCCACCCCGGTCATACATGCCTCCTACTCTTTTCGGGAATATTAGCTTCGTTACATATCCGAAACTTAAGCACACATGCTTTTCAGCTGCGACGTAAGTCAACACCGGTTTCCATCTCCCTACTGTCTGGCAAGAACTTAAAGCCCGTTTAACAAGATCAAGGATCAACGAATAACTTACAAGCTCATGCATTTCTCGTCTCACAGGTTCTTGTTGTGGTTGAAAACAGTGATTCATTTCCTTGTGTAAAATGTCACATGATACGGGCTTCTCCCACTGCTACACTCAGCTTCACTTACGTTGGAACGTAAGGTATCTTAATGCTTCATTAAGTTTCAGTTTGAAAGATTCAGTGCTTGGTGTACAGACGACTTGAGGTGGGGGAGAGTTCGAGATCGAACACACTCTGACTGTGAATGACTGATGCCGGCATTCAAGTCGAGATTTTGAGACCACTAGTTTGAATGGATGTCCTCCTAGATGAACGTTGGGTGATAATTTTAGCAGTGGGTGACAAGAATGGCTTGGGTTTTACATCATCTGGTATACCATAATTATATCTCCTCTGATGCGCTGGTAGTGATTGGAATATAACTCGAGCCACTTCAGTCTCTCTGCGTATGAATAATAATTCAACCCCTTAACCATTTTAGTGGCCATCTTTTATGGACGCTCCCGCATTTTACAATCACGTTGTAGCCACGGATTCTATGCCTGGATAGCGTACTCTGTTATTGGGCGAATATATGCTGATAGCAGACGGGGGAAAAGCGCTGACTCAAACCGGCCAAAGACCCTCTTAAGCAAATCGACATTCTTTACAGCTGCGTTAGACACCTGGGCGCAGTTAGGTTTTCTTGCATGATGAGATCCAGGTCCTTCTCACTTGAGGCGTGTAGCAGTTGATCATTTCCGAGGAAGTATGAAAATCGCTCTCTGTGTCGTAGAGAGAACCTTACACTTCGGCACATTGAATTTAATATCGTTCAAAAGCGACCAGAGACGAGCTGCTTTCAGCCTTTCCTGGAGTGCAAGCGATCCCGCCGGTTGCGTTACTATATTCCAATTTTTGGGGTCATCTGCAAATAGTGATGATTTTGACCCCAGGGCCTTCGAGTGAGCATTTCCGAATATAAGAAAACGTCAAAGCGCAGATGGGGTTTATGCCGCTAACCAGAGCTCTTTTGCATTTTGAACTGACAGAGCGTTTGCACACATCCAGCATTTCGTGCCAGGTGGTATCCACGTGCCTTACATTTTTTTGGCGGTGCTAATTCCTCGTCCCTCAGGGTTTATTTGGGAAATTCTCCAAGTAAAAGTCCCGCTTCATTCAAATGTAACGTTCACCAGTGTGCTGACGGTGAAGCAGTCGAGTGTTCCACCAATGGTAATGACTATTTCGGTCAAAAGTGAAACTGCCCGAAGTAAATTGTTTTTTCTTAGCCTAGTTCCTAATTCTTCAAGGTCAGTGTACATGTTTGACAATACGTTTCAGTCTCCCCCCCCCCAAAGAAACTCGTTATTAGATAACTATTAGTAACCTGCTCAAACTTGTTAGAACTAATCATAATGTTGCCAAAGGTGACTCACGAAAATAACTAGCAACTTTCTAATCACACCATTTCTTATGCACTAAAAACAATAAAACTGTTCACACTAAATTTGGCCGATTATTCTTTTACGCATTAAAATTTAAAACGTTTGTCTTCTCTCAAAGACACTGCACAAATATTTAACACTGTTCTTTCTTCCACTTTGTTTTGATTATTGTCTTATATTTCCTCCCATCGTAAAATTGAAAAAAAGGAAATCAATTTGACCTCATTTCGTGATTTAACAAACAGTTTTTTGCATTGTAGTACTATCCCAACAACGGTACTTATTGAATTCTTTGTGTAAGCAACCGGTATGCTGTTTGATGAAACCCCTTATCTGTTTGCTCATCGATCCCTGCAATTAGTCCTATCTACCTTAGGTTATTCAGTAAAATTTTTGTCATTTAGAGAATTTGCAAACTCATTTGAACACGATGGATATAATTGTGATGACCGACAAAGAGCACTGAAGAGCTGTTCCAACTCGTCCGGACTCGAACTGCGAACAGTCGGGTTAGGACTTCCATCCAACTTAAATGCATTCAACTAGTGGTTAACTAACGATCTACCAAGGGGTGAAATGCTCTCTGAAGACCATCAACAGTGCCTGGTGCCTGTGAAAAATGCAATGGGTTAATCGAAACATGATACTCTAAAATGAGAAATCTATTGCTAATCATGACAACTAACATTATGGAAATTTTTCACATGATTATTGTTTTATTTTTGGATTTTTAGAGTGATTTGTCATTTGTTTTATCAGTTCCAATTTATTAATACTTGATCTTACTCCGAATACCTAATATGTAGCTCCCTGAGGGCATAAATCCTTTTTTTGGTGTGGCTCACGTGACATGATTTCCCGGTCTCAATCTGTCGGTTTACCTCGATGTCATCTTGTATGCACTCGGTGCTGAATGTTTCACGGATCTCGTCTAAAACCAACCTCAGATAAATCAGTATCGATTCCGAGCCGCATCCCCAAGTCCATCATTCATGCAACTCGACTTGCGACCTTCTTCTGCCAAAACGTCCGATCACTGCCTGGCATGTCATTTCGGACGCGTCAGGTGATCTGACGAGCAAGCCGGAAGAAACGGCTACACAGAGTTCAAGCAACATAATGATATGCCCACAGCAATACGAAAAGAGCAAATGTCCTGCGCTACTCACGGACCTGGCACTTGTGAGCGCGACAATTAAAGAAAGTGGTTAGTCGCATTATTCATTTTCCTACTGTGATTCAGTAGCAAATCGTATACTGTTCGTAGGAACCGAACGATTAGCTGCTGACAAATTTTCTGCCTCTGATTGGCGTCACTTGCCTATCCGATAACTTCAACATAGCCTTCACACAACCATTTTGAAGGCTTCATCTTGCCGTACGGTACAATAAAAGCCAGACGTAACGCTACATTTCTGCACTTCAATTAAACAATATATCCGTCATGCATCGCAAAAAATTGCGGATATTCTGTAGGATGATTCACATGACTTGCCTGCATTCCTGATTGCAACATGCGTATAAATAATCGAGAGTTATGAATCAAGCGTGCATGTATAACAATGTCTATTCTTATGTTCTCTTTTCCGGTCTGAAGACCAGATACAGAGTTGGGGAATTGGAGCATCACAATGTATAAAAACAACAACCGGCAATATGCACTGAAGATATTCAAAGATTTTGGTGTAAAACAAACCGACCTCCAACCCTTGAGAATTCTGTTGCCCATGGGAAAATATGTACTTTTGAATAATGTGACCTTTGTCAGGCTTCACTTGCCAAAATGAAATAGAAAAGGTCAAAGTATACATGATTCTGCGGGGTCAAAAGTTTATTTGATCTCCCGAGGTGTTCAACTATTTACATTACAATTGTTTGCGATTTTCATAACCCAGTGATGAAATATAAATGACTAAAACACTTATAAAGTGTAATTTTGTCAAAATTTTGGTAAAAGTTTTGATAAAATTATTTGCTTGAACAGTGTAATCCCGCATCACATTCAACCCATTCTATCGGCACTTCATATCATATGATAACATAAAGGTCTAACTCGGAACACCCTCTACCCATCGGGGCCCCTGTGAACAACTCGGAAGGAACATACTGAAAACAGTGCTTAGCAGTGAGAATCCACCACGGACTGATCAGGGCACCGCCACATGTATGACCCTCCAGATTGTTATGCATTGCCGCCATGGCACCGTCCGCAGTGCCCAATTCCAGGTCCAACGCGTGTTCATTGTAGTCACTGGGGGAAAGTTCCTTCAGACGAAGTCGAATCTGGGCCAACATGGCGGCCAGTTCTTCGATTGGTGTGGATTCGGACAGACCCAATCGTTGCAATTCTTGCAGATTGTCCTCCAAATGTCTTTTTATCTGCAACAAGTGGTATCACAGAGAAAATGCACCGGATTTATTTCCGGGAGGAGGCCTTCAAAAAACGAGCAAGTCTGTTTGTTTATTAGAGACTAATTCAGTTTTGCTTGATTGTTCAACAGTAGGGAGGTTAGGTAATTCCATGATTGGTGATATTTTANATCTCAGTGAATTGAAGTGCATGCGCGCGTACGTTTGTGCATAGTGTGTCCCTGGCTGTGTAACGACCAGTCAAATCTGAAGCCCAAAAGTACAATTAGTTCTATTTCTATTCCAATGCAAAATGGTCATCCCCGTTTTCCGTAGTAATGTCACGCATCTCATTGAGTTGACCGCTGATGTAAGCGCGATTGGCATATCTTGATTGCCCCTATTGTAGCACGGATATAACTTGACCTCCGATTGCTCAATCCCAGTTCTTGGTTTACGTGGAACAGTTTTCCCTTCGGTGTGTGTTTTATCACAGCAAATAATTTGGTTGAGCCCATTAGCGGATACCGGAAGCTATTATAATACGGAACATATATATATATTCCATTCTATATTCTGTTTACTCTCCTTTATTTTTGAGAACTGGAGCCTGTTCTTTTTGCATTGAGTTCACCAGATTGACTGGGAAATAGCATTTGTCTGGTTCTTCTGATACATGCCGCATCCCGACCTACCTCGAAGATTCCAGTCGAGGTAACAAATTTTCCGTTTCCAACATGGGTAAAAGCTATTGATTAAATTAAAATCCCAAATTTCGGGTGGTAATTGAATGAATGCGACATTGAACGTAACCCATTCAAAAACTGAATAAATGAAAACAAACAACGAAGAAAATAAAAACAAAANTAGACTTTATCTTGGGGTAGGTACACCGGAGTTGATTTGTACCTAGCGTTCCTTTTCAAACACTTATTACAATCCAGTTTCATTCTACGCGGTCACTTGTGGTTGACCTGGTTTCAATTTTATGAAAACATTCAGACGCTGGTATGTTGTATGCTTAAAAAAACTCGAATTAGCTGTTTCTGATTGCAAGTGGTGGCGCATAGAATTGAGTTTTTACTCTCATGTTATTATGCCCCGCTGAACAACCTCATTTGGGGTGCATATATTTATTAATGCATGCAGTGAGTAGATCGTTGTATTATTTTATCTGTTTCCAATAGTGGACCTGAAGAACATCAATCCACTGTAGCGTACATTGCAGATAAAAAACGATTTATGCCAACTGTCACGGTGAACAAATTTAACGGTAGAAATAACTAACTGAGCTCGGCAAAGCTGCCTGGGTTTTCAAATTTGAAGTGATAGACGTCGCAGTTAACCAATGCAGTTGTGGATATGGGTGAAAAATGCAGTTTCTTATCTATATTTATAACAATTTATTTTACCGAATTTACCCTTGATAAAGGATTGTTATTTATTACTGTGGGGTCTGTCGGGTATGAAAAGTGTGCAAAGCTATGGAAACATTCAACACATTCACTGAAATTTAGGGTCAGCCCCGATAAGGAGTCGAATGATGGAGTTTGACCAAAATTGTCGTCAAACGAGCTTAGACCGGAGTAAGAATAAATGGGTTGGCACAGCACAACATCATTTGCATATTTCAAAATACGTGCAGAAAAAACACTAGGAATATCACAGATGTGCGCAAAAGATAAGCATGGAGATAGCACAACTCTTTGAAGAAGGCCGGAGTTCTTGACTACGGGGTGAAGATGAAGCTTCCCTCAATCTAATTGTTTGTACTGTGTCAGTAAAATATTTGAATAGCCAAGTTAACCATTGCTTGGGGCATTCAAACGATTCCATTTTTTGTAACAAATTAGATCGAGGAATGGAATCAACTTCTGAAGAGTAGTTCAGAAAAGCACACCAAACAGACTTAACAGAGCTGTTCAAAGACTTAGTGATAAAATGAGTAAGGGTGAAAACAGCGTCCGAAAAGGATCTATTAGGCTTGTAGGCATTCTGTAAAGGATCACTGGGAATGTTTATAGACTGTTGAAGGCGTTTGAGGAAAGCCTTTTCAGCCAACTTAAGAACTGAATATGTTAGGAGAGGATAGAAGATTTGGATGCTTTGGGTATTGGTTTGATTGTGAGTGATCTCCAGCAGTCGGGGTTAGTTGAAGTAGTAAGAGATTCATTTACTATGGAGGTAATTGCTCCAGCTCGGGAAGCAATACCAAATTTGAAGAGGACTGGAGGCAAATCATCCGGAACTGCAGCAGAAAACGACTTGCAGCCATTTAAAAGTTTCAACACAACGCACTATGAGAATGGTTTCACACATTTAGAGTGACCGGCAGTCAGGAAGAATATCTGACGAGTGACTTAAGAACTGTATGCACGTTTCTATTGTCATGATAGCGACTCGTTGGACATACATAATTATAGCAGGGCAGCAGTAATTATAAATAATATTAATTTTATTGGTGAACAAGGGGACAGACGAAAATGCAGAAGAAGATGATTAAAACCATAAAGAGGCCTGCGTGAGAGATTCATTGAGGAGAGAAACACTTGTGGGCGACAAGTTACGAAAGCGAAATCTGATGTGGCTGACCACATCAGATCAAGAGAAAGATTTATATACACAGTGTTAATAAACCATGGGTTGCACTAAGAGTAAACAGTGGTTTCTGGTGGAATTTGAAGCCTTTAGTGCTAAGGGAAAAGGATTGGGTGGTTGGTAATTACTCTAATATGGAGTCAGCTTTTATGGGAGAATGTCGGGAATTTATCATACCTAATGATAAAAAAGGATGAGTACTAGTATGGTGAAAGTCACCAACGATAATGAACGTCAATAGGTGGTATAAACGAGTCGAAGAATGACATACTATAGGATTATGTACAATAAGGTATTATATTCAAGTTATTGAAAATGGTGTGAGTAAAAATGAAAAATCCGGGGTTGCATTACACAATCAGGCACTTAACAGCTTTTGCGGAGTACTGAAAAAGAACATGGCACTTGCCACATCGCGAAACGTTGACCTATGTCACAACATCCCCTTTTTCCTTCGGTTCCGTAACTCTGTCGGTAAACTTGAACACTGTCTATCGATACTACATCTATATCCTCATTCAGTCAGGACTTTAGTACACAGACTTAGAAAGTGTTGATATGAAATTGTAAGGGAAGTTAACGAGTTAAATCCGACAGTTTGGCAAATATAGACCGAGTGTTAAAGCTGATCAATGAAGAGATTGTCACGTTGGTCAAGAGGGTGCACACTTGCCCTCTTTATTTGGTCCAACGTGAACAGTGAGAAACTGGAATCACACCAACCGATGAACCGTTAAAAGATGCCCTGGGACTTTTGGAACAAATAATTTGATCCCGTGAGTAACGACGACCCACATGATATTAGGTGAAAATGCGAATATTCCAACAATGTCACAGAGCGTGTAAATATAGTGCAACCAATCGAATGACGGGTCTGCTGGAGGTAATCTGCAGTCCAGGGAATGTTACGATCAATATTTGGTTTCACATCTAACTTCGGACCACATCGATATATGCAAAGTGTACGTGCTGTTTCACGGTCCTGTTTACCCGGTCACATACTTCATAAAATGACACTTTTTCTGGGTAAATCCAGCATTTTCCCAGTGAGAGTATAAATCATCATACAATTTAAATATACTACCACTCTGACACAAACAAACTGTTTTAAACAAAGAGCACAATACTGCAAGTGAACACGATTTAATTTCGGAATCATTTCGCTGCATCATCATCAGGATCATCATCATCATCATTCATTCATTCATTCATCACAGGTATCGAAAATCCAACAATTATTATTATTAATATCATTATTATTATCTGTTATTTATCATTATTTATTATTTGCTGACCATATATTATTGATCACACAGATTGCAGTACGCACGAGTACAGATGCAGTGAAATGAGCCAGGATGCATTGTGCAAACCTGTTTTCGGCTTCTCTATTCCAATTCGTTACCGGGAAACTATGCTTCCAATCCAACATGGTCTCAATTCACTCTTCCGCTTACGTGGTTACCAGGGCAATGGCAGAATGATGTAGACCTTCTTCCGCTGACATAATAAGGGCTTTCGGCGCTTGATTACTAAGTCTTCTAGACCAATCTCAGCAGCAGTCTATCTGAGGTTGTGTAAACAATCCGAAAAGAAGTTCCGCCCTAGGTTTGGTGGCCAGTCTTCAGCAGATGGCTAGCAATTGATAATGCAGATGTTCTGTGCGGTTGGTTTGATGGGCTGGTTGATTATGCAGCCCTCAATCTGATCCGTTCGCGTTCGATACATATTAGTATATGTTCAGCCACTCGGGTGCACATCTGCCTCTCTGTTCTGCCCACGTAGGTGGCTCTGCACTTACATTGAAATTCATAGATTACGTGTTATTTTGCTGACAGAGGGAGTGGTGATTTCACCAAGGGCTTCGGAATCTGGATTGTGGTGAAGCGAACGACCGGATTTGCAGCAAAATACGTGCGAGCTACTGATGCCGCCAGCTATCTTCGTACAAGTTGGCCTACATCGTCACCTTTGAACGGCAGTTGAACGAAAGCGTAACATTTTGGTGCTGTCATCCCCGAGGTCTTGGGTTTGGTTTGTACACTGTATTTTTGTTTAATCCTCGCTGGGTAATCATTTAGGTTTAAAGTTTCTGTATTACGTAACCATGTCTAACTCTCTTTCCACCATTGCTAATCGGTTTTCATTACGTAACTGCTTTCTATGCTAACATTCCCCACCCCTCCTCCTCTTCTACCCATACTTAAATGACTTTGGTAATAACTCAACCACACAGTGGCTTCTACTGGACCCCATGTAATTGTAAATGCCCATATATGGTATTCTGATGATAAAATTTGACCTATTTAATGTGCGTAGACAGCTGACTGAGAGCACGCGAAATTGATGGCCAATATCAATTCTGCTCATATTGTGTTACTTGTTTTATTCTAATGTCCTACTGGTTTTGTTCTCAAAACTAGCCATGAATATGTCAGCTATAGAATAAAATCCAATGAGCTGCCAATAGCCACGCCATCAACGTTTCTAAATCACCGACCTCGAATAGTGAAATTTATATCCCTTGTACACAGGCGCTCAGTGTTTCAATTTGGTGACTATTAAATTGGATGGACAAAACATTCAGCACGAATTGTCCAGGATTCTCTAAAAGAATGGATACAGGTCTCACGTTCGGTAGAATTGTCAAATTTCGTTTTCAAAGTTCATCGCATTTTCCTTATCAAGTTTGCACAAAAGGTATGGTATTTTATCCGGCAAACTAAATTGAGCTCATCTAGCATGGGCACAGTTTTGGTACAAACCTCTTGTAAAACCTGCAAGTTCAGGTTCGAATCATCAGCGTGGCACTTTGCCAATCTCGTCAGATTGCTAGCACTCGGTCGCATGTTAGATCCACGGAGACGTTTGAAAAACAAAACAGGATATTTGTTAGGTTAGACAAACTGAAATGGAAGCTGGATTCGTACTGTTTTAATCATTTTGGGCGATCACTGTACCGGGTTATTTGCCGGATTTGTTGTGTTTAACCATTTGTTTCTCGATGACATCCTTTCAGATCAAACCACAAGACTCAGGCATGAATCACAATTATTGAATAGTTATTTTCATTCTTGTTATGCGATGTTACCAATTGGAACTGAAAGATTCTCTAAGTTTAGCTCTCAGCCGCAAACCCGTAAAAAATATAGTGTGAATACTGTGGTGATCCTAGCTTATGAGCTAACGCCCACCACACGTTACAGTTTCTGGACAAGGGACCACAAGCCGATTGTGCCGACTAATCAGAAGTCGTGCGGTACAGACAGAAGCTATATGGCATCAAGAATACTAGCAGGCAATTTGTGCACACCTGTATAACCAATAAACGTCCTTTGCACATGCTATTTATCTCCTTGTTTACTTCCAATAAATGAGCTGCTACTTCTGTGACCTTGCATCTCGGTTACGCGAGATAACAGCGTGCAAGTACATGTGCGGTTCAGTGTTCCCGTTGCGTCCGTGATTCGCGATTCCTAATTTGTACTTGGTGATTTGTGCCTACTTCAACTACCACAAATAATTCCATAGCTCATCCACAATGCTGGGTAGTCGCGACGTGGACTGATTGGCCTCTTTGTAACACACACACCCAATGAGTTGTACAGGTTTTCATATTCCGCAATCTCTCCAACGAACTCAACCAAATAGAATTTAGATCTTCAATACTGTCCAAATGTACCGTTTGCAAGTGAGTCAATCATGGAACTTCAATTTACACCTTACCTCATCCCAACGAACGATAATAGTGAAACAACACAAATATGAATGTTCTCACTCTCATGATTTCGCACGATAAACCTTCAACAATCGAAAGACTTTCTGCACCGTACACACTTTTTTGATATACCAGCCTCCCCCCACATCACCTCTAACCCCTCCCCCTAACTCTCCTCCATCTCTGTCGGGTACTTCAGACAATCGTGCTAGCAGTAGTGCCCCGAGCGGAAATGCTACCGCTGTTCGTCCTTGTACTATCTGGAATGCTGTCCAGTCTCACCGAATACTCCATCAGCTAAAGC